AAACGATCTTTCGTTGGTGCCGGTTCTACCCCCCACCACACCGCTGCCTCTCCTCCCCCTCCTCCTCCGCTTCGTCAACCTACCACGCTCGGTCTTTATCGCTCTAAAAGTCTCGTGCCACTGTCACCTTTCTTCGTCTCGCGGCTGTCAGCACCGCGCTCTCTTCCAACTTCCCCCCACCAGATCTCCCCCGCATCCATCGGTTCATACGTTGTGTAGAGGAGAGGGGATAGAATTCCTCTCCATCGCGACGAGCCTAACGCACAGTGGGGGGAAGTCTTGCGAGGACGCCAAACCGAAGGATCGAATTTGCCGTTTCTTCTCGCCTTCTTCCTACTTTTTTCTTTCCATCTTATCATCTCTCTCTCTCGCTCTCTCTCTCTCTTTCTCTCCTCCCTCTCCTTCCCTCCCTCTCTCTCTCTCTCTCTCTCTCGTCACTTTTCTTCCCTTCTCTCCGTGAAAACAACGTCGATACATCTCGAGCCTCATCTTCTACCTCTACTTTTTTTCTTTCGTCACGTAGCTAGCTAGTAGCCAACTACGTTCAATTTTTCGTTTAAAGGAGGACGTTGCCTCCTATTTCCGATGCCGTCACGATGGCCGACTAACGATCACCGACCATTTGTCCGTTCCCTTTCGATCTTCTGTCCATTCGAATATCCACACCCGCGATCGTTAAAATTCGACAAAGTATACGCCTCGTTTCTGAAACTTCTTTCGAGTTTGAACGAAATTGGGGTTGGGGAAGCAGGCTTGGAACGGAAAGTTGGCCGATCTCGGGAATTTTAGAGACGCGGCAACGATTCGAGTCTCGTCACCTCGTGGCCGCATGGCCTATCCGTTTTCCTTGTTAAAACTTTTTTTTCTCTCTTCCTCCCCGCAACTTCTTTTCTCTGTTCCCCTGTTAATTATCGTCCCCATCGCTGATATTTGCATTCATCCGCAATTCCGTGAAGAAAATGTAATTTTCCTTGGGTAAACCTTCCTTTTCTCCCTCTTTTTTTTTTCCTTCGCTCTTTTCCTCTCCACTCCCTTTTCAATCTCACCAGTAATAACTGAATCAAAATTTATATTCACCGCGAGATATCGTCTTTTTTTTATATATATACATCTTCCAACTTATACATTGCTGGTAAATTTGCAGTTGACAAAAATACGAATCTAATTAATTAAATTTCAGAAATGTTTTAAAAATGAATAAGATGTCGATGAGCAAACTTTTCTTGCCATTGTATCATTTCAATCGCCGATTTATCAACTATAAGATTCCTATGCATCGTTTTTCGAATCTTTTATTTAATTATCTCTCGTGAAATTCAGGATTTCAAGATCCTTTACATCGATAGTTATTTTATATGAATAGAATGAATATCGAATAGATATTTTGTACAGACCTTTGAAACGCATTCTAAATCGATAAAAAATTTGTGTTCATTATATTTTTTTTTATTATAGAAAATATTAATATTAAGAAACGTATAGAAATATAAAACGAAGATAAAAGTATTTAAGTTTAAGATAAGAGAAGAATTAGATTTTAAATATAACGAATTAATTTGAAGAAATATTAAATATTAATAATGCTTACCACTTATATTTTTAAGTTCTGTTGATTTTTGTGACGATCTTTGCGTGAAACAAATTTTAGTTTAAATGTTCGATTAATTGGTTATAATTTTAAATTTCAAATTGTATCGATAAAAAATAGAAAAATGGAAGAAAAAAGTTAATTTGTTATTTATTTCTTATATAAATTATACAAATATTTATTTTATTTGTAAGATAAATTTAAAAATGGATATACTTAAATATTCAAACTCGAAGAATTATATAAATTCTTACATTTACAACGTAATTCTCGTATTCTTATCGATTTTTCATTCATCTCTCATCGATCATTCATGTTATTCGAATGAAAATTTCTTTCTTTCTTACTTTCGTTCTTTCTTTCGATCAAAATTACCAACTAACCTAGGTTTTGTCCTTCTTTTTTGCAGACAAAGAATCGGAAGGATGTTGGTCGAGGTGTTTCGCACTGCTGCAAACAATGGCACGAAACTTAACGTGAACGAAGTGATGCAATCGGTGCAACAGATTGTCGAAGATCCTGGTAAGTTTAAAATTTTTTCTTTTTTTTTTTTTTTTAATTACTAAAATACATCTATGTAAAATGAGAAA